ATTAACGATGTCACTATTAGCGCTCAGATAAATCAGTTGCAAGCAGGAGCTGTAAATATATTGCAGAAAATTAATGAAAGATTTGCATAAAAATTTTCAGGTAATTTATAAAATTGTAATTTCGTTTTTTTTAAATATATAAATCAATTATAGGAAATTGATTTAACGATCCTCATTTATTAATTATTTACAGAACTAATGGCAGTTTACAGTTTAATTTAACAAATTTGAATGATGCAGTTTATTTTTCTAATTTGGATGATACGCTGAAGAATAAATCTGATTAGATTAAGTAAATGAAAGGTGAACTTTTTAATACAAAAATTTCGCCTTAGTCTAATCTGCTATAATAATCATAAAAAAACAATAATAATCATAAGAAACGTTTCTTGACGCTGATTATTCTACTTGTATTTTTAGAAGTTGTAATTAATAACAGAAGAACTCTTTTATAATAATTATAAGATAATTAAATGTTAATATAGCTCAATTAGAATAAATCAATAAATAAAACAAGGGCAAACGAGCCAACTACAATATAAGATCTTTAATAAACGTATATATATACAATAATCAAACGTTTCGACACCGATCGGGTCATTTTCAATGTACAATAACAAAACATCTTACATACATAATCAGAAATTTAGTTAAAATATATTGTCCAGTGAGAATTTGGTTATATTCATAAAAAGCAGTCCATATTTAAAACTATTGAAGAGATCAAAACTCATTCTACCATCTCATATTGTCTCAATGATGTAATGTGGACAACGATAGGAACACTTAGTTAACAAAAATATATTTAAAAAAAGTTATGTATAATAAAAATTATTAAGCCATGATGCGCATGAATATAGCGATTAGACTCAATCGACGTCATGCGACGTTAATAATTATAAGATTTCTATAATTAAAATTTAATTTGTAGATAATACGTAAATAAATTTATTATTGATTCCATAAAATAGAAAGAAATGCAAAAATATGTAGAAATTTGAAATATCTATGTATATATAATGCTGATTCTTATAATCCTTTTTGGTTTTTTAAGAAATTTCATTTTAAACGCAATAATATTCTATTCTTTAAACTATATCTTTTTTTTTATCCGTCACCATTTTGAGCCACTTTAAACATGTTTTCATCATTAAAAAAACATCTTTATTATAACATTTTATGTCTCGATTTTGAACATGCCTGCTGTCTGCAGATCACATTTATTATCCTTAATGCTCAGTACAATCAAAATGGTCGATAATGTCATCGCTCTTCATTTATCCCATCAAGCCCATTTGATAATCGAAAAATTTATCTTTATTGTTAGTGTCGCAATAATGAGTAATAAAGACAGAATGAAATTATATTACATGGTGAAAAGATATTCTTTTTAATTAATTGTTAAATTGCAAGAATTGAGAAATAACAATATGACGCCTGCTTCCACTTCCTTCTCTAAATACCAACACGCAGTTCAGTTATCTTCTGCCTCTATGGCGGTAGCCGGTAACCTATAATTTCCTGTGATCAATCTCGCATCAATTACGAGATATTTAAGTTGTACACATTAATTCACGATTTCCTTGATTGCGTCGTTGATCGCCCATTATTACGCAATTGTCACAAGAAACCTAAAAAACGCGCTATGGTTGAGGAATCAGAGCAGGTGAGTTTTTTGCGTCCATGTAGATTGTACAAATAAGTAGTGCAAATAATCCTGGATGTTGCTCCAAAACAGTTGCCGCCAATAGATGTGAAGGAGCCGCTGGACCTCATAAAGCTAAGCCTGGAGGAGCGGATTTATGTAAAGATGAGGAACGAGAGAGAACTCCGAGGAAAACTACACGTAATGAACTTTCCATTGTTCTTTATTAGGTCTAATTAAAATTATTGGATGATTAGAAATAGAACGAAAAGAAACTACAGCTAAGAAAGGATAAGTCTTTGTTTCTATCTTATATAGTCTTCGTTTATAAAACGATTCTTACATTTTAATGTAATTTCAGGCCTTCGACCAACATCTGAACATGGTGCTGGGCGATGTGGAAGAGATCATAAACATAGTGGAGATCGACGAGGAAACATACGAGGAGATCTATCGGCAGAAAAAGAGAACTATCCAGATGCTATTTGTACGTGGCGACGGTGTCATCCTGGTATCTCCACCCACATAAAATCAGCGTGACATTTGATCAACATCTCGTGTGTGAAGCTATCGATATTTTCTGCATAATTTACTATGGGATTCTGTTTTGTTAAAATGTCCAAAAGATTTATAGGATCCAAGCTGGACACTTGAAAGATCAAAAAAGATTTCATGACTGCTCTATTTAATTCAGTTATACTATACATAGTATAATATACTATAATTTCATGTATAATATTGTAAGATTACATGAATGGCCCAACTAGATGATAATAAAAAGTGTATTCTTTTATACATGATACATATGTCAAAAAAAGGACAAGCTACGCTGTGTTATATAAAAGCTACAATCAGAGAGCACTTGACACATTTCTCGATAAAGTTTATTACGACAGCTTGGTGGAAACGCGTTTCGAGATTCCATTGCCGATAACGTGAGGATGAGGCATAGGAACGTTTCGCTCAACAGGCAGCCTTGTGATCTGTAATGTGAGGTCGTCGATCCGTTGGTCCTTCAGCTTCATTATACTTTCCAGATGCGAGATCTTCTGCTGTAATGTGGAGATAGTATCGTTTTTCTCCTGCAGCTCCTGCTTCAGACGAGCGAAAATGTGCCGGGGGACCGTCTTGTTCGCTAACTCATCAGGATTTAGCACCGACTTTACTGTCTCTATATTATCTGTAGAAATTAAAAATGATTTGAGGAAAGGAGAATTTAAAGATAATTTGTTACAATCCAATAGCCACCTTTACTGTCCTCGTGGCCAAAGTAAAACAACTCTCTGTCTCTCTCTGAATCCTTCAAGATCTTGACTCGCAGATCTGTGAGGACTTTCTCGATGATGCCTGGTTGAGAACTCGCCAGCTGATTAATTGCTTCCTTCCCCAGCCTCATATCGATCTTTGACAGCACCTTGCGATTCAGTGTGCTCCAATTGTCACTCTTCTTCGCAATGCTGTTGCCGGCAACGTAATTATGTACGTCCACATACTTAGGGTAATAGCGTTTCAACAGCTCCGCCATCAACACTGAAGTTTAAACGTAGTGATTAAATTTTCTGTAACGTTATTCCTGAAGAAAATAGGTTTGTTTTTTTTATTGCTGCATTAGACTGCACTAGATTTCTCGCTTTTGCTAAATATACCTATTTCACTTTAATTACAAAAAATGTACATTAGTTCAACTATAAAAAAACAGACATAATCTTGGGAGACCGTCGACCTTTCACGGGAGAGGAATTGACAAATGGATTTATATAGAGATCATGCTTTTTTGTTACCTCCATCGGAAAAATCTCTAGCTATGTTTCTTTTGGGCCTGGAAAACTTAATTTGATCGATCCAGTCGTAGATCTCGTCGAGATGATCACCAGCCTCCGAGTTTGCGCTCATGTTCACTGTGACGCTTTTGGCGATCCACACACTAACGAGATCATGAGCTCACGTGGGGGATAACGAAAGAATATGAGGAGAAGAAGGAGAGAGAAAGCAAGTCTCTGTTACATATATTAAAAATTTATAAACGCGGTCGACATTTTTTTCATCTTACATGTTCGATGTTCGCTCGAGCCTAGCTTCAGGTTCGCTCGAATAAACAAATTTTACGCTCGGTATGGAGAACACGAGCGATCCTAGAAATAAATACACAGTGGGCCAAGCAGAGCTCAATGAAGTATCAAAAATAAAAGTAGAAATTTCGAGTTTAGAGAAAATTTTCATTCATGAAACTTTCGGAAAAGTTGAGCGCGAGCAATCACATTACTTATAAATAATTATCGTTATTGTATTCATACTTTTAAATCATTCATTTGTCTTAATTGTTTTAATATTAATTATTTTATCATTAATTTCGCATACAGCACAAAAACTTGCAGCAACATTGCTGCAACGTTGCAATATTACTTCAGTATTGTAGAAACGTTGCTGTAATATTGCTTAGCATAAATGATCTGAGCTGTATAGTTGTTGATTGATAAAAGCAATGACTGTTAATCGATACTTTTTCCCTTAAGCTCATTTCTACCAATATAGACTAATTTTAATTCGAGTTAATTTATTGTTTATCTTTTTCTAATTCTTACAACTACACAGAAAATATTATTTTATTACTAAGAAAAGTGATTGTTCAATTCATTTCTTTTTTAAGTAACAGTTATTTTTAACAAAGAATATTTTTTATAATAATAATCTTAAAATATATAGGTACTTATTACAAATTTAAAAAAAACTCATTATTATGTTTTAATTTATTGATCGAAGTATTAAACTTACTAGGATTGAGAATATATTTTGAATGAATTTGGTGCTTTTGTGATGAACTTATGATAAAATTTGTAGATATATAAACTTTGAAAATACTTGAAACAAGTAATTATTATTTGCGCACAGTATTTTTCTGTGTGTAGAAAAAGATGAAAAGTAAGTTAAACCGAGATTAAAGATAATTCTACATTGACAGAAATGGACATTACTCGCGAAATGCGGAGGCAGGTGATGCAACCGCTCACCCTTTGCCCTTTATCTTTAGAACGCCGGCCGCCAACGTCAATGACTGAGATGAGAGTGGATGAGAGTACGAGGCATCGGCCTCTTGTATTTCGTGTGATCCTTCCCTCGCACACGCGTACGTGCGGCGGGCGTTTATAGAAGAGACGCACGCTCCGCATCCCTCCGGAGACCGGACCGAAGTCGCTCCAAGAATTTCTCGACTTTCCCGTGCTGCTTTACATCAGTGGCACGCTACTCCCATCACGAGCCGGAAGCGATCGGGTGGACACCAGAATATGTCCACTCGAGAGGAAGAAAACTCTACGACGGTATAAAATTGAATAGGAGTACAGAGAATTATTGGAGAAACGTAATTATTAATTATTTTGCTGCGATACATCTTCGTTGGAATCCTCTGGGTATTGTGGAAGATACGTTCCTATTAGTATGATAGCCATGGAAAATACTACTGGTAAGCAATGATTCTTCTGACTCTCAGAAAGATCAGGATTTCCTACAAATGTACTTTAGAATTATAAAATATTAGGAGGAAGAAATTAATAAAGTAACAAAGAAATCATTCAGGAAAGATGGAGATATTTTATATATAGTATTAATTTTTGCTAAAAAGCTACTAAAAAAATTTTCAATCGCATATTTCTTAAATTAGATTTCTTAAACTCTAATTACGTATGTATAAAAATTGCATCATTTAATTTAATTGTTTAAAAAATACTAAAGACAACTCTCTAGGTTGAGTCACCTTCCATGACCTTGTCGCGTCCTCTACTCTACATCGATTTTCGCGAAACGCATAGAGTTTGGTTAATTTTATGGATTGGAAATTGATTTCCAGCCTTGCTGATGTGCAACATGTGTGAATGCATTACGACGCAACCGGACGCAACGCTGTGCAAGTGCCGATACATAATCCTTATCACGTGCATTCAACATGTGTTCAACATACAAATTTTCATCATCTCGGAGTTGCACAAATTTGCGAGATACAATTAAATTCAAATGATATATAAATTTAATTCCGCGTGTGTAAATAGAGAACTGCGAGATCGTTATAGAAACTCAGAGTTGCATCAGAATAACATTGTGTTCGAAGTGACGGCCCGCATGTCGGCGCGCCGCAAATTCTCGTTCTTAAAATAATCTCTCTCTCTCTTGGGTACGCCTTTAAACATACAAAATCGATTTGACGTCAAGCCAGACGCGGAAAATTCATTTCTTCAAATCGAAGAACATTTCGCCCGAGTAGAAAATTGTTTCAATTTAAAAAACTTGTTTTCATTCCTCCACTGTAAAAACAATTCTCGTGCATCTAAAAATACATTAGTTTAAGCAACCAATTGTGCAAGTATCATAATTTTGTCGTGACATTTCAAAGGAAAAATCATTTACGGCTTGTCAGGTAGACGCCAAGTGCTATATGCGACTCATCACATATTTATGAAAAAATAAGAATTCGAATACGATTCACGAGTATAATTGTCCTGACAATCAGCATGCTGATTATCAGGAAATGACGCAACATTTCACGTCGCGATAAATCGCAGATGATAAAAAAAATAAGTTAAATTAAATAAATCAAATACTATTTTAACTTTCGTCATAAAAAATAAGATAGAAATTAAAAATTTGAAGTTTAGTAAAATATTTGTATAATACTAAAGAATTGTGATATATAAAAATAATTCTCTTTTATTAATTTTATACTAAAAAAAAGCATCTGATTATAATATTTATTTCTGGCCATAGGAGGAAACAGAATGGCATGTCCGTTTCGATATCTGATGGCTGTAATGGGATCAATCGGCCTCGCTATACTTTATGGCTTTAAAGTTAATGCTAGCGTAGCTATCGTCGCTATGGTGAATTATACAGCTATTAAATCACACATCAAATTATCTATTTCAAACGATTCAGAAACTGACAATACCACGCTAACGAGCACAAACATTTGCCAGTTCGATGATACCTCAGATGTCACAGCGATCAAAAATGAGGTGATGAGCTTATTGTAAGAAAGAGATTCGACAAGTAATCCTCATGTCGTAGCTTTGGCAAAAAGACCTCAGCATTTTAATTAAAAAAAAAGAAAACATTTAGTTAACTATTACTGAATCTTTTCAGGACGGTCCATTCGTATGGAACGAATTTATTCAAGGCCTTATTCTATCTTCCTATTTCTGGGGCTACACAATATCCATGTTGCCGGGTGGGAGATTAGCAGAACTCTGGTCAGCTAAGTGGCTGATGAATGGATCGGTTCTGTTGAATCTCGTTGCATCCATACTGACACCCATCGCTGCTCGTACGCACTACTGGCTCTTCATAGCTATGAGATTTCTTCAGGGAATCGGTGGTGTCAGTAATGACTTATGTTAACACAGACTTGATATTCCAATACGATTATAACTTCGAGCGCTTGAATTACAGGGTGTATCATTCCCCGCCATGCACGTGATGATCGCCAAGTGGGCGCCGCCACATGAAAGAAACGTCATTGCCTCGATCGTGTATGCAGGTAAGAAGAAAAATTACAGAAAACATCTTTGGTGAAGTTTCAGCAATATATACCAAAATCTTTCATCGTGATTCTACAATTCTTTCGTGATCTGTAATTACAACGCGAAAATTGAGTTTCTTTCTTGATAAGATTCTTGTAAAAATCATGATATAATATAGATCTATTTGATACCTGGAATTTTTCGAACGCGTCATAAAATTTTCTTTGAAGAAATCAAATTTTGAGAAATTTTTAGGAACGGCACTCGGCACTGTGATTTCCATTCTACTAACCGGCATGTTGGCTGTAAATCTCGGTTGGGAATCCATCTTCTACATTGAAGGCGCACTTTGCTTGATTTGGTGCACTATTTGGTGGCTGATGATAGCAGATTCCCCGGAAGAACAAACGAGATTCATTACTCAAGAAGAAAAGAACTATATCGTCATGTCTTTGGGAGGACACAAGAAAAATATTTCTAAAGTGGTACGTTGAAAGTTAAATTAAAAAATTTAATTCTCAAGTTAAATTGAAAAATTCTTCAATTTTTTATCCATCCACATTTATTGCAGATTCCTTGGCTACAAGTATTTCGCTCCAAACCATTCATAGCAATTCTGGTTGCTCATTTTTGCAGTAATTTCGGCTGGTACATGTTACTGATAGAATTGCCCACCTTTATGAATCAGATCCTGAAGTTCAACATGAGCTCGGTAAGAACTGCTTTAAAATTTGCTTTAACGCATACGAATTAACATATCGTAAATTAATTTATTTATGCTATCAGAACACAGGTTTATTGTCCATCCCGTATTTTTGTATGTGGCTCTTCACCATGATTCTCAGCGAAGTATTAACCATCCTGCAGAAAAAAGGTCTCATCACAGTAACAACATCAAGAAAAATCGGTACTCTTTTTGGTATGTTTTAATAACTATTTAATGAAATTTTCAAAAAAATCAACATTTAATTAATCAAAGTTAATATAAGTCAAATTTTGACTTACATGTAGACATATGTAGCGAATTTTTTGATATCTTACATAGCTATTTTCATTATTTTTAAGTGCATTTTTCAATCTAATTAAATTTAAAACTGTTGCAGCATCGCTCGTACCCATGCTATGCTTAATACAGGTGTCATACATCGGGTGCGATCGCACAAAAGCAGTCGTGTTGATGACGATCGCGGTGACTTGCATCGGCGGAATGTACTCTGGTTTCCTGGCAAACCACATAGACATCGCACCGAACTTTGCCGGTAGTTTGGTGGCGATAACAAATTTCGTCGCTACCATACCCGGTTTCGTCGTACCGGTATTCGTTGGACAATTGACTCACGGAAACGTAAGTTAATATGACAAAAAGAATTTTAAAGTTTCAGGGTGGAAAGAGGATGATAGAGAACCAAATTATTTCCAAAGGAATAAAAAGTCTTTAAATCACTTTTTCTTTACTTCGTTGATTACACTGAATATATCGATGTACTTCGACTTTTTTTATTGTTTACAGCAAACTATAGAGGCATGGAGGATCGTATTCCTTGTAACGATTATTCTATACATAATCGAGATATTGGTTTACACTATCTTTGGAAGCGGTAACGAACAACCTTGGAACCAGATTGAAGCACCTGATGAGGAAGCGAACGATCAGACGTTACCTTTAAGGAGAAATAATACAAAATAAAAGGTATATCATGGCATAATTTATAATTAATTATTTATATTTTATCATAAATAATTTTATACATAATATTTCATAGTCTGTGAATTTTGATCACTATGGAATAAGTCCATTAATAATTGACATTAATATTTGTATAGGTACAGTTGCATAACATTATAAAAAGTATTTATTTTTTTATATATAAAATACTATTTTATATATAAAAAATACATAGATTTTATTATATAATAAAGAACATAAAATATATGTTATTTATTATACTGTATATGTATAATAAAGTCTATGATATCTCTAGGTCTTAAATTATTTGTACACACTTACCTATTATTATCGTGTTCGTACTATTTTACAAAAGTACGTGGGGCCCCAATTATTTTGAAGCGTAGGAATGGCGATATGGCCGTATTTTAATCCAAAATTGCCAAATTTATAAAGACATTTCAATGGATTCAGCGCTTTATTCATATCTCTGTCTCAATAAAGAATATCGTTAATATAAAATGACGTTAGATAATAATGTATTGTTACATATATGAAAAAATACTTACTTTACAATCATAATAGAATTAGTTTCTTCCCAGACCTTTTTCAGCGCCATGCCGACGACGCCATCGTTTTGAATAGGACTGAGAGAACAAGTAGAATACACAACTGTTCCACCAACCGATATTATCTTCAATGCATTACTGTAACAGATAGTTATCTAATAGAGAAGAGTAAGGAGATATATTTACGATAAAGTATCGAATTTCGTACATACGTTAAAATGGCTGCTTGCAATTCTGGTATTTTTAATCTTTCTCGTATTCTTTGCGGTTTGAAGATATTATTTTCTTCCGAATGTAAAACGTGTCTGTCCGTAGTACACGGCACATCCACCAAGATCTGTAAAGAAATAATTATAAAAAATTTCTCTGAAAAAATCAAATTTTCTGTGCATTACCTTATTATACATATCATTATCGTCAATAAATCTTGCATCTCGCTCTGTCACACATAATCTGTCCTCCCACTGGCCAATGCCAGCTACATATTGATTTATGACTTTATTAATTCTCTCCACTCGAGACTTTTGAACATCATTAGCCACCATTATCTGTGGCATGAGTGTCTGAAGAATGCTTAAGGTCTTACCTCCTGGCGCCGCGCACATATCTAGCACGATGTCACCAGGTTGCAAGTCTAAGGCTAACACTGGTAACACCGAGGTACCATCCAGAAGATAATAATCTGTATAACACAATTATAATATTTATATCTATAAAATTAAACCCAGTTAAAGTTAAACCAACCTAAAACGCCAGTTGATCCTTTCTTTGGGGATGGGAATCTGCTATCATTATTTTCCTCAAACGTATAGATGTTAAGATATTGTGGAAATGTTAATAGAATCTCTTTCTCGATGTTCACTGAAAAACTTGCACCCTCTTTGTAATAGCCATAGTGTTGTGATTCCAATACCCAATCTTCCATACCTGAGAAAAATAATATCAAATTATATATTAAATTACAATTCATTTCTACACCTAACACTTGCATTTCTATATTTTTACAATATCAGTTACCTTTAATTTTTGTGGCTGGTACAAATTCATATAATCCACTCAAGCCAGCATTGGGCTGTATGATTCGATTTTCGTCTAAGACAATTTTATTCAAATCTGATTCAATAGGTTTCATTTCAACAGGCTGCAACCCTTGATTCTGTACTGCTATATCCTCAGCTTCATCACTTGTACTTAGAGATGTAGGTGATACATAATCTGTAGGATAATGTGACTGCACTGTTGACACCTCAGCATCAGAAATTAGTGATTTTATTCGACCTTTTGCTTGCTTGTTCTTTGTTTTATTAGATTTAGGTGGATTTGCATCAATATGTTCTTTATAGGCTTCATAAATTGTTTTTAAATTCATAGCACCGTGGGACTAGAAGGAAGACCAAATGTTAATAAAAATCGTACTATTTTCAATAATCCTTTACTATGCAAATATACCTCTAACTGTAACTTTATTCTGTCTATATCACTGAAGGAGTTTACAACAGCCATATATTTATGCTCTTCCATCAATAATGCAGTTTTTATATGTTCCCATGACTTTCCATAGACATTACCATAGAACTCGTCAAAATGTTTCAGTGCTGTGTCCATGTATGTCTTTTTCTTTTTAATCACAGACTTAGCAAAAAAAGGATTAAACAGACATTATATTTAAAATCTTACAAATGTTTATATTCTTTATTTGTAATCGGACGGCAATTAGTTATAAATATTTTTTTTAATATGTATAAACAAATAAAAAATCAATATAAAATAACAATGAAATTATAATAAGTTTATTTATAAGATACAGCAACGCAAGATTATAAAGCCTGTGAAGTACAGTACACTTACCCAATGTTCTGCTTTATTTCCATATCTGGCTACCTGCATCTTAGCCAGGTCTTTGATCGCCTGTCTGTTAAATAAACGTGCCATTTTTTCATAGTAAATTTCCTGTTATTCCATTCAAATCAGCAGCTCTCGCCAGCTCGGCTACTCTCGCCACAAGGTTTCATCCTAACCTTAATTTTACAGGACAAGAAGGAAGGAGGAGCAGTAAAATGCAGTATGAGAGATGGCGGTGTAATAATGCAACCAATCATAAGTCCGCCTCAACCTACGATGGCCAATCAGACGATGCTTCAGATACATAAGTGGCAAACGGTCTAGAATATCTACAATCCTGGCTCACACATTCCGAGCAATTCGGAGGGAAGGTAAGAGCGTTGTGTATGTTGTCATCTACAATTTTAACGCGATTTCGAGTAATTTACAGCGTATCAGAATTGTGTTACAGACAGCAAAAATAATAAAGCGCAGCATATCATACAATAGTAAACTTAGAAGAAGCTGAAGGAGCTGCAATACCAAGTGGAGTCCGTCTAACCTCCTAGTCCATCATGGAGAAGTCGCAGAAGATGCCGAAGGTAGCGAAGGTGAAGAACAAGGCGCCCGCGGAGATACAGATTACCGCGGAGCAGCTGCTACGCGAGGCGAAGGAGCGCGACCTGGAGATCCTGCCGCCGCCGCCGAAGCAGAAGATCTCGGACCCGCACGAGCTCGCGGATTACCAGCATCGCAAGCGCAAGGCGTTCGAAGACATCATCCGCAAGAATCGCATGATCATCACCAACTGGATGAAGTATGCGCAATGGGAAGAAAGCCAGAAACAGATACAGCGAGCGAGATCCATTTACGAGCGGGCGCTCGAGGTGGATCATCGAAACATAGCGCTGTGGCTCAAGTACACTGAGATGGAGATGCGTAATCGGCAGGTGATTATAGATCCGTTCTATTATGCACATTCTTGTCATCGTAATATAATACTTTTATTATTTAAATATTTATCACTATTTTTATTTTTGATCAACACATTATACTTATTAACTCTAGAACATACCTTCTTAAAAATCCTGAAAATATATATCATGTGTGTGTTCTAGGATTAAGCATCCAAAAAAATGTTTAATATATCTAAAAACATCCCTAATTTAGGACATCGCAACGTTTATATGGAATTATCGAATAAAGTACACCATGTCACGGAATAATTTAGTACATAAGATCCAAGCTTTACATAATAGATCTGTTTTTCATTCTTGCACTAAGTTGTACTAAAATTCTCTTCATTGCTTCTGTCAAATATCAAACATATATCTATCTCACTTTAAGTTCCAATGTATACTAGTTCGATCACAGAAAACAGACCTAATTATGCAGCGTTATTTTTATACTTGTATACATTTTTATAATTTTTAAAGTTATGCACATAATTAGCCAGTGTCAGTTTGTTATGGTATTAACTTTTTACTTTATATATATTCATCAAAGTCCTTAATATATTAATATTGGTAGGTAAATCACGCCAGAAATCTCTGGGACAGAGCGGTCACCTTGCTGCCGCGTGCCAATCAATTCTGGTATAAGTACACCTATATGGAGGAGACGCTGGAGAACATTGCTGGTGCGCGTCAGGTGTTCGAGCGATGGATGGAGTGGGAACCAGACGAGCAGGCCTGGCAGACGTATATCAAGTTCGAGTTGCGTTATAAGGAGATCGATCGGGCGCGACAGATCTACGAGCGATTCGTTATGGTTCACCCTGATGTGAAACACTGGATAAAGTACGCTCGCTTCGAAGAGTCATATGGATTCATCAAGGGCGCGCGTGCTGTTTACGAACGCGCTGTTAACTTTTATGGTGACGAGGGTCTGGACGAGAAGCTGTTCCTGGCGTTCGCGAAATTCGAAGAGGGTCAACGAGAACACGACCGGGCCCGCATAATCTATAAATACGCGTTGGAGCACATACCAAAAAGCAACACTCAGGAGATCTACAAAGCGTACACGATCCATGAGAAGAAGTACGGCGATCGCTCGGGCATCGAGGATGTAATAGTCAGCAAACGAAAGCATCAGTATGAGCAGGAGATCAAGGAGAATCCTTCAAATTACGACGCGTGGTTCGACTATCTAAGATTGGTGGAGTCAGAGGGTAACGTCGATGTGGTCCGCGAGACATACGAGCGAGCGATCGCTAATGTGCCGCCCACCAAGGAGAAGCAATTCTGGCGAAGATACATATATTTATGGATCAAGTACGCTATCTTCGAGGAACTGGAGGCCAAAGATATCGAACGGTGCCGGCAGATATACAAAGTGTGCTTGGAACTCATACCACACAAGCGTTTCACTTTCTCAAAGATCTGGCTGCTTTGTGCATACTTTGAAATACGACAAAAGGACTTTACAAAGGCAAGAAAGACGCTGGGCCTAGCGCTGGGAATATGTCCAACAGATAAGCTTTATCGGGGCTATATCGACCTCGAGATACAGCTGGTGGAGTTCGATCGGTGTCGCAAATTGTACGACAAGTTCCTCGAGTTCGGACCGGAGAACTGTACCACGTGGATGCGATTCGCTGAGCTGGAGACACGATTAGGCGAGTTTGCTCGCGCTCGGTCGATATATGAGTTCGCTGTCGCGCGGCCGAGGCTGGACATGCCGGAACTATTATGGAAATCATACATCGATTTTGAGATCGCTCAGGATGAGACGGAGAACGCTCGGCAGCTGTTTGAGCGACTGCTAGAGCGCACGTTACACGTTAAAGTTTGGATAGCGTACGCAAAGTTCGAACTGTTAAATTGCCAACGGCGACACCGAGAGCCGAGTGCTACTGTTGGAAGCTTGGAAGGACTTTGAAAGTGAGAAAGGCACCCCTGAAACTCTCGCGAAGATAATGGAGAAGATGCCGCGTAGGGTGAAGAAGAAGAGGCGCGTCGTGGGCGAAGACGGAAGCAACGACGGCTGGGAGGAAGTCTTCGACTTCGTATTTCCAGAGGATGAGTCGCAAAGGCCAAATCTCAAATTCTTGGCTTCCGCGAAAGCGTGGAAAAAGCAGAGCGAGCAATCTCAGTCTTGAGATAGTTAAATTTCACTATGATAAAAAAGAACGAGGTAACATATACTTTAAAAAGATTTGAGATTAAGAAAATTCTCTAGAACTTTATGACTGTAAAAGTCGCGTATATTTTATATTACTGTAGATGAAATATGAGAGCGTGTGACAAGTGGATTGTTTATTTTTATATGTACATATAAACTGTGATATTTTACTATCATGAGAAAAACATTTGTATGTGACGTTTATGTAAATAATTTGTATAAAATTTATTTTAATTTATATAAATAAGAGTAAAATATACATTTTGTCCGAAGACTGTTGGTCTTTGTATCAAGTTCAATTGGAATTTGATTTCATTATTTAAAAAAAAAGAATGTTTCAGATAATTCTTAAAAATCGATTTAAATTTAAAGATTTAAATTTGAAGATTTAAATTTGAAGATATAATAGTACAATGTAGAACATTTTAACTGTAAAAATATATATACAAAATAATATTAAATGCATTTTGATTAACACACACGAGAATATTGTATGACCCGCGCAAATTGATTTTACCGTCCGCCACCAGATGGCGCACACTCCCCTACCGCGTTCAAAAGTAACGTCGCGCGCCGTCGCTAGATGGCGTAGGCTGTCTATCTGTTGCGTTTGGCGGTTTAAATGAAGCTGATTACCGCCCACAGATGACACTCGTGATATTGTCGCAATTCGTAGACCTCGTGGATTCTCGCTTCTCGGTGATATCGTATTGCGATTCACCGTTAGCGTATGAGCGAGAGGGAGGGACAGGGCGGGACGGCGGGAGCACAGGAAGAGAAGGGCGTGAATCGCGCGAGCACGCAGGTAGAGAAGCGAACGAGCGAATCCATGAGTTACGGTACTACCCGTGCTACCCGCGTCGTTTTTGTTTATCCTTTCGATTCCGCGGGCGGCTCGTTTCGTCGCGTCGCGACGGAGGTGCCGGCCGCGTGTAATAGCGAGAGCTATTTGCGCTTCTATTGTCTGCTCCATTATTCCGCGTTCTTTGATCGCTCTTACGTGCCATGTCCCCGATAGCTATCGTCGACAAATCAAATTTAATATCTCGATACAAATATGCGATACAAATTCGCGCGCGTTGGTCCATAAATTTAGGACGCCAAATTTAGGACACCAGGAAGGGAGGGAACGTAACAAGAGGAATAAGGTGGTTGCCCCCAAGGAACTTGAAAGTAGGGGACCATTAACTACGAAAAGCAAACGGCGTTTCCTAACTTCCTAGTTAGATCAGGTCGTTCACACCTGCGCATCGCGAGACACCACAATCCCGTCAACCGCCATTCATTATAAACACGCCTAAAGATCTTCCCTTATCGGACTACCTCGAAAAGGCTATAAATAGCACGAATGATTCTCGAGTTTCTATTACAAGACTTCCCCATCTTCCTTCTCCCTATCCGTCCCTCCATCCGCCGATCCCTCGAGTCCCAAATGGAACTCTACCGCGCGGTTCGCCTATCGACGTGTCGCGACGAGCCAGGAAACAGAACAGGTAAATACGCCATCGGCGCGTGTTATCAAACGCCGACGCGACGAGGAAGCGACGTATTTGTCGCGACATGGTTCGCGCGCGCAGGCGAGCGAGCACGAGGGACGAAAGGGTTAAGGGGGGAGGGTGCGCAGAGCGAGGCCACATCCGAGTCTCCCTCCCAGCGCGGAGGCGGGCGGCATGTGAAACGTGGCTGTTTCGAAAGTCCCTCTGCGCGTTAGCGCGCCTATTTTAGACGCGCGGGGCGCTTTGCCGCTTTGTCGAGAGTCGAGACGCGCGAGAGAGCAGAGTCCCGGTTTCTCTATGTACTCGCCGAGACTGCCGAGAGCCCAGTTTCGGGAGGGTTACGCGTCAATCGAGAACGAGGGGATTCGTGGTATCAGCTCGAGCGTTCTCCCGTTGGAGGATCCATGGTATCAAGAATCACCGAATTAGAGTTAAACTCATGTTTATGTCGTATTAGAGATTAGAACAATTTATCGACGAGACGTTGATTAAGCATTGGTAGGCATTGGGGATGTAGTATTGGGCCAATATCGCTTCAATAAATTGTACTACTTGAATGAGGACCATGGCACACAAAAAAACTTAAACAGTAAAATGTAAGCAATAAGGGGCTGCAATCAAAGGAATACGGAGCAGAGAATAAGAATATTTCAACCTCATCATTAGAAACCACGTACTGTGGAGTGTTCGGTTCTTTAAATTTTTCTGTTCCCTATTTTTTTGATTACGCGCAATTCTTAAGGAAATCAATGTTGGATTTGCTACGCTTACACTTTACTTAAATTTTTATGTATGCCATGGCCCTTAGGATTGCGAATTGAGGATTAGAATTTAGCCAATCAGGACGAAACGGATTAAAATTAAAATTTTATGACTGGTCAAATTCTAATTTCTGCGTAGAGTGACACGAGATTTAGACGTGCGGAGATCGTTTCACAAATGAAGAAACGATCAAGTTAATTATTCGCACTTGATCAAATACATATAGCTTCAGATATTTGTATGGAGATTATGGAGCTGGCAAATCTTCGGCTACGATTTTTTTCTTTCTCTCGCGACTTTCTTCTCCATCTCCTCGCTTGACCAAACGTTTGATAACCCCGTAACCCTCGAAACGATCAACCAAGCGGTGAGAGTCTTCGCTAGACTCACCGACGACGGCGAGGAACGAGATGAGAACATCGTCGGTCTCTAACTCGATTCTACCTTCTCGCAAGGAGGATGATTTCGCCACCGTCGGCACGAAAACAAACGGGGTATATACCAGGGCACCCCGTCGTCGACACGCGAGATGTGTGCGTGTGACTTCCCTGAACCCTTCCCCTCGCTCCTCCCCCCCGTCCCCTCTCCCCTTTCCCCTCGATGAGTCTCGACGACCCGAATCGCTCGACGGCGAAGCTGGTTTCGTGGATCTCTTCATGAGAGGCACGTCGTGCGCGATTTGTCGAGGGAGAGAGATAGGAGGAAGGGGTGGAGGGGAGGGCACGGGGTGTGACGGGACTCGGGGGGTTCGTAAAGGCAATGCACTGTAAGGAGCTCACAACGACCATACCCTCCCTTTCTCCTTCTTGCCTCCCCCTCCTCACTCCCTCTTTCTGACTTCTCTCTCTCTCTCTCTCTCTCTCTCTCTCTCCTCTCGTCGCGCGACTTTCTCTCTGTCCCGCTCTTTGACTCTTCGTCTCTTCATCTCATTCTCGTCTCTTCCCTCTTCTCTTTCTCTCTCTCTCGCCCTCTCTCTCGGTGCCCTCTTTCCTCCCCACCCCCTCGTTCTATCTTTCTCTTCCTCATTCTATGATTTCTTGTCGGTCCCTCTCGCTTTATCATTGCCTCCTCTCTTCTCTTCCCTTTCTGCACCTATCTGTCTAT